CCCATTTTCAGCCTCCGTGCGTCCCGTTTTCGCCCCATTCCAGGTGGCGGGGATTACCACCGTTGCCTATCCCCGCTGCCTGGAACGGACCAAAAATGGGGCATGTGGAGGCCGAAAATGGGGTGTGTGGAGGCGGTGATAGGTGGCAGTGGCGATTGGTGGCGATCCCTGCAGCCTGGAACAGCTGATAGGTGGTATTCCAGGAGGCTGATCCAACCGCCAAATCAGCTGCTTGTGCTAAATCAGGCTGTGCTGAAGCTGACCAGGCTGTTTGCTGTTTGCTGCAAGAAGACAAATTTCTGGGAGGCAGAGGCCGAAGGGTGGGGGCGGGCAGGGCTTCAGCAACATTTGCTCTATAAGGTGCATAGACATTTCCACCCACTTTTTTTGGGGGGGAGTGCATCTTATACACCGAAAAATACAGTAATTTTAAAGGAAGGATTATGTATCATTTTCAAACCTGCGTATTTCCTAACCCAAAGAAAGATTCATTTAACTTACTTTTTGAAATTACTAGCACATAAGAATTTAGAAAAAGGGTATTCAAAATGCATATAATGAAACATGGGCTAATTCAAATATAAAATTCAAGAGTCTATTTGTATTTAAGAAGTACTCTTGAGGGAAAAAAACCAGCCTTTGGAAAATGCTCAGTAAGCATTTCTTTTTTGTGTTTGGAAAACAAAACATAAGCATTTTATATCCCAAACCTATATATTTAATTGATAGTTTTTTTAATTTATTTATTTTTATTTATTTGATTTATATACCGCCCTACTCCCGAAGGACTCAGGGCGGTGAACAGCCACAGGATAAAAACACATAAATACAAAATTTAAAACTGAATAAAACAGAATTAAACAATTTGGCCGAAGACAGATTTAAAACATCCCAATAAATTAAGAATGAATTAAAATTTGCGTTTTAAAAAGGAGAAAATTAGGCCAGGCCAGCCTGATGGAATAAAAAGGTCTTGAGAGCGCGGCGGAAGGTGCGTAGATCCGGGATCCTCCGTATCTCCGGGGGGAGCTCATTCCAGATAGTAGGTGCCCCCACAGAGACTCTCCCCCAGGGGGGCCGCCAGTCGACATTGTTTGGCCAACAGCACCTGAGGAGCCCTCTCTATGAGAGCGTACCGGCCGGTGGGAGGCTACTGGTGGCAGCAGGCGGTCCCGTAGATAACCAGGTCCTAAGCCATGGAGTGCTCTAAAGGTGGTAACCAAGACCTTGAAGCACACCCAGAAGACCACCGGGAGCCAGTGCAGCTCGCGCAGGAGAGGTGTTACATGGGAACGCCATTTTGCTCCCATAACCACCCGCGCGGCCGCACTCTGCGCCAGCTGGAGCCTCCGGGTGCTCCTCAAGGGGAGCCCCGTGTAGAGAGCGTTGCACTAGTCCAGGCTGGAAGTGACGAGGGCATGAGTGACCGTGCGTAAGGAGTCCCGCTCCAGAAAGGGACACAACTGGTGAATCAGGCGAACCTGATGAAAAATCCTCCCGGTCACGGCTGTCACATGCTCTTCTAAAGACAGCCGTGAATCCAGGAGGACGCCCAAGTTGCGAGCCCTCTCCGTGGGGGCCAGCGATTTGCCCCCAATAGTCAGTGATGGCACCAACTGACTATATCGGGACGTCGGAAACCACAGCCACTTAGTCTTGGATGGGTTGAGCCTGAGCCTGTTTCTCCCCATCCAGATCCACACGGCCTCCAGGCCTCACTTCAAGGGCATCGTTGGGGTGGTCTGGGGTGGAGATGTACAGCTGAGTATCATCAGCGTACTGATGGTACTTCACCCCGAAACCACGGATGATCTCGGCCAGTGGCTTTACATAAATGTTGAACAGAAGGGGCGAGAGGACCAACCCTTGTGGCACCCCACATATGTGGTGCCTCGGGGTCGACCTCTGCCCCCCTGCCAACGCAGACTGCAACCGATCGGAGAGAAAGGAGGAGAACCACTGCAACACAGTGCCCCCCACCCCTAACTCTTCCAACCGGTGCAGCATGATACCATGGTCGATGGCATCAAAAGCTGCTGAGAGATCTAATAGGACCAGCACAGGGAGCAACCTCTGTCCCGAGCCCTCCAGAGATCATCAACCAACGCGACCAATGCCGTTTCCATGCTGTACCCAGGCATGAAGCCCGACTGGAACAGATCCAGATACTCCGTTTCATCCAGGTGCTGGGGGAGCTGTCGCACAACCACACTCTCAACAACCTTCGCCACAAAGCGAAGGTTGGAGACTGGACAATAATTAGCCAACACTGCCGGGTCCAGGGAAGGCGTCTTGAGGAGAGGCCTCACCACCGCCTCTTTCAAGGCGGCGGGGAAGTCACCCTCACTCAATGAAACATTTATAATCCCCTGGAGCCAGCCTCGTGTCACCTCCCGAGAAGCCAGCACTAACCAGGAGGGACACGGGTCCAACAAACATGTGGTCGTGTTCAGTCTACCCAGAATCCTGTCCACGTCGTCAGGAGTCACAGGGTCAAACTCATCCCAGATAACATTCTCAAGACCTGCCTCAGTCATCCCCCTGAAACTACCCAGTCGGAGTCCAGACCTTCCCGAATCTCAGTGATTTTGTCATGCAAATACTGTACAAAGTCCTCGGCTCTACCCTCCTTTATAGTAATTCCTTTACAGTTCAGTCCTTGTCTTTAAGCATATATTTGTGGAACTGAAGCTTTTATATGATAGCCATATAGTCCTATATTTGAGAGTATTGAGCAAAACTAGGTCATTAAACAGCCCGTGAAGAGGATGATACCCAGTTATTAGGAACTGAGGAAGTGAGATTTCTAAATAAGTACTGTTTTATCTTAAGAAGCGTGAATGACTTGTTACAGGAGAACAGTGCCTCCACATGTATTGAAATGTCAGAATCTTGAACTTGTTTATAAGCAAAACAGAAGTTGTTGCTACAAGTGTCTGTCCTTACATTAGCTATAGAAAACGTGAGCCAGCCTTCATTGACAGAAATTCAAGTGGCAATCAATCATATTTGAAGGCATAGTATCTAGGAATCCGTTGCTGTCTCCACAGAGAATCCTTGAAACATATATATTCTTTTAATATGCATTCACCCATTATTGATTACATTAGTAAGTAGCACTAATAAATAAGCAAAAAGCACTTAGTTTGCTTCTGAACACCAGAGCTGAGTGCTTGGTAGTATAGAGCCAAAATGGAAGCTGCTTTCCACAATAATGTGTGCTACTGAACTTCAAAGTCTTGAATAGATTAGATTATTTATTGCATTTGTATTCTGTATTTCAAATCAAACCTTTATTGTCAATGCACAACATGTGTACAATTTCTTCCTGAAACTCAAGGTGGTCTATAGTAGAGAGGGAGGATATCCTTTTATTTTATGGTCACATCAGCAAATCTGTGAGGGAAATCAGGATGAGAAGAGACTGTCTTAAAGACTTCCATTGAGCTCTGTAGTGAACTGGGAAACATAAATGTGAGGGTTTTTAAAAATATTTTATGTATACATTTATCTTTAACATACATAAGTGCTTAGTAAACACTGTATTTTCTGGCTCAATTTACTTATACATAATAAATAAATTAAAATAATATTATTTACTTGTAATAGTAGTATTCTTTTAACTTCTAATTTCTACTTCTATTATCTAACCATTGGTAAAACAAATCCCATGTTGAAAAGTATTCTGTATCTTCTTTATTTTTTATCTTTAATGTTAACCTATCCATTTCTGCACAGTCTAATATTTTTTTAATTATATTTTCATCTGTGAGAGTTTCCTCATTTTTCCAGTGTTGTGCAAATACAATTCTCGCTGCTGTCAAAACATGTAGTATTAAATACATGTTCCCTTTGTCATATTTTTTTGATAGTATACCTAACAAAAATATTTCTGGCTTTAAATCTATGTGTATCTTTATCATTTTCTCTAACCATATATGTATTTTCATCCAATTTTTTTTTTGCCTTTGGGCATGTCCAGCACATATGGTAGTACTACGAGTCCGGTATCGGTGAGTTTTCTTAGTTCTACAACAAATAATCAGTACAATACTTGAACTCGCCTGCTTTTCCAAGAAGGACTATCTTCCAGTGCTTCAAAATTTCCATTGAAAGCAACAGCTGTGTTCCCTTTCCATGCATCTTTCTACCCTTATTATTGGAAATGTGACTGGATGACATGCGATAGGCCCAGCACTATAGCATAAAGCCCCAGCCATCACGGCCCAACAGCACAGTGCAAAGCCCTAGTTTTCCTTATTGCTCTGTACTCCAAGGCATCTGTAGCTTTGTGCTTCCCTACTCCATCACCCTACCAGACCTCGTCCATCTTCTGGTGTCCACTGCTACTTGGGCATGCCTAGTATGGCCTTTCACGAGGCAGATGCGGGCCACATGTAATTCTGTAATATTATGAGGAAATCTCCCCATGGGAAGAAGACTCATGCAGCCAGTAGTTGCTTGTGAAGAGCCAGGCTGAGTATGCTTGATCAGTGAGAAGACGACAGCAAAGGACAGAAAGCAGCCTCTGTGAAGCGCAGGGGCCCAAAAGAGCAGAGATGGAGAGATAGGCAGGTAGGGAGTGTTGTAACAACCTTGTAGTCATAAATGAGACTATTGGTGTAACTGAATATGTGTTGAAGAAAACTGTGAACTACCAAATAGGAAATGTCATATGCCATAGCTCACTAAACACTTTTTCCTCTTCTATCTTTCTCTCCACTTTTTCACTTGAAGATGGGAATATGCATGAGTCATCCTTATGGATCAGTGCACGCTTTATGGGATATGCATATATCTATTTCTCCATAGAAGTCTTAGCAATCCAGTTACTATGGATCATGTTTTGCTTTCTCTCAAGTTATGAAACCTGCAAATATTTTCCTAGATGTGCAAAAATGCATTCCGAAGAAATCAAAGACCCATTCTTTTTTAAAAAAATAAAATGCTGGAGTTTAACTAAAATAATTGAGATTGCTCTTTTCTTTTCTTTCTTACAGCACCTATGTTTACCCTGAAAGTGCAAGTTAATGATATAATCAGTCATCAGTACCTACACCAAGCTGTTGTGGACATCTTTGTCAACTACACTAAAACAAATTCTACTCTAACTGGAAAGAATGGCGCAGTATTGATACAGGTTCCCTATCAGCTAGGCCTGAGTTTAACCATTGTTTCTTATAAAGATGGTTACATGTTAACACCTTTACCTTGGAAAACTGGGAGAATGCCAAGTAAGTAAGCAAGCTTAAGAACACCTTTTTAAAAAATATTTTCTTTACACCAGTTCTTTTAAAGATAATTTATGTAGTTCTTTAGGTGGCATAAGTTTTTCATCTAACCTTCTCCATTTCCCCCTTCCTTTCTACCCATTTACTTTCCTTTTTTTATATTTGTTCTGTGATTCAGTTTTTATTTTCATTGAGCAAATCACTTAATTCATTTATTTCATACTGGTCACTTATTTTTGCTTTTTTTCTGTACTCATCAACCTTTTCAATCTTTACCCAATCTTCTTTATTTTTTACACATGTGTCACTTAAATAATCCATTCTCACTGCATTAAATTTACCTTTGTTCCTCCTAATATACCAAATCCTCACTTCCATATAATAAAATGAGTAGAAGTATGCCCTTATGCAAAGACATTTGTTTTAATAAACATTCATTTCTTACAGCAGACCACATGTGATACATTTTCTCCTAGCCTTTGCACAATTAAATTTTGTCAATCCATTTTTCCATCTTTACTAAATGTTCTACCGTAGTACAGAATTTCATGTATTTGCTTTTTTTTTCTTTTTTCTTTTGCCATTTATGTATAATTTGCATTCATTGGCTAATGCTTTCCCTGTCAAACCCAGTTTTTCGGATCTCTATTTTTTTTTTTTTTTGTATCATCTGGTCGAATCTTTGTTGAAAATCACTTGTGTTTTCAACTAACAACATGGGACATTCCGCATGCATAAATGGACATATATTCATGCTTCCCCCCCTAAAAAAATAACACATTTAGCAGATGAAATGTAAAATTAAAATTATAATCCATATTAAGTTTTTCTGTATATAAAGAGGAGAAATGGAGGTATCAATACATAAGTTTCTGTATGTATTGATACCTCCATTTCTTTTTATTATGATGTAGGTGAATAAAAAAACCTGAATATATTCTTCACCCAAAAGGTAAAGAGCGTGTGTAGCAGAATTACAAAGAATTATGCTCAAAATGACATAAATCTTCTATTTCCTTGTCCCCAAGGCAAGAAGAAAGGAAAACAAATCCTATCTTGAGCTCTGTAAAAATCAGATTTCTACTAGTACCCCTAAATTTTAGCTGAAGTTATTTCCATAATTTTTTCATTATGTTAGTTAGTGTCATACATAAAATCTTCTAAGGTCAAATGTATTAGGCTTATATACAAAAATCTATAAATTTCCATTATTTATAAGATGTCAAGTGTATGGGTAATATATAGAAAAATATAAAAACGTGTTGAGAAATTTAGGATTTTGCTCATACAATGATAGCAATAGCACTAGCACTTAGGCTTATATACCACTTTACAGTGCTTTACAGCCCTCTCTAAGTGTTGGCATATTTCCCCCAACAATCTGGGTCCTCATTTTATCAACCTCGGAAGGATGGAAGGCTGAGTAAACCTTGAGCCAATGAGGATCAAACTACTGGTAGTCAGCAGAATTAGCTTGCAACAATGAATTCTAACCACTGTGCCACCACGACTCTTATAAATAACTCTTACCTGACTCTTTACCAACCAACAGGCATCTTTTGACTGGAGGTGTTATTCAAAGTGAAAGGTGACCCCTTGTAGCTGAAGTTTGCTAAATTGGTGCCCATGAAATTGAGCCTTTGCCTTATTTAATCAAAGTCAATATAATCATGTATTTCAGATGATACAGCATTTTCTGTTTAAGTTTTACTTCTCTTCAGGGCAACAGTACTATAATACATACTTACATAATAATATATTATTATTTTATCTCCCACAGTATATTCATCTGTTACGCTTTCATTGTTCCCCCAAAGTCAAGCGAATATATGGCTGTTTGATGATACAGTTTTAATCACTGGGAAACTATCTGGTAAGTAAGAACAGAACATACCCAGGTTTGCAAACCATTTTCTCTTAAGATATAACCATGTGGCGAAGTCCAGTACAGTTTCCAGATTATGTTTTTAAGTATGGGCTGTAAACAATAGATGCAAAGAGTTAGAGGCATTTTAATTATTTTATATTTTAGTAAAACAACAAATGCAAACTTGTACTGAATGCTTAATTTGCTAATTCATGTTAGTGGATTTATTAGCTGGCCAGAAGATGCAGGTCTTTTCAGGCCTTATGTTTATCCTCTTAGCAGCTCAATAATGGAGGTTAAGTTGAGAGGTAGTGTGTCAACTCGCAAAGTATCCTTGGCCTGCTCTCAAGTTACCATAGGGGGGGATGGGAAACCGGCGAAATGGTACAGCAGCCAAAGACAGATGCACATTCCACGCTTATCTCTCTCAAGGCTGTATCCCAGGGTTACTTACAGCAGCCGAGGGGAGTAACCTCTACAACCTGGGAAATTGGTTCGTTGGGAATGTGATTGATGACACACCCTGGGTTGAGGGGGGAAACAGGGTCATAATTGGAGCGTAAATTACGTAGGGTCAGAGCTGGCTTCACTTGAGAACGTGCCGACATGAAGCTCCTAATAAATAACTGGATTTCTTTTGAACCTTGGCTCGAGACTCATGATTTAATTAGGGCATCTGTCGGAACCCTGACGTGACTATTTCAAACACAAAAGAGATGATTACCACCTGAGAGTCCCCGACCCTAGTCCCACACTCTTCTATCACAACATCATACTCATTTTAATGTAATTCTAGAATAGGTTCTCTTCAGCACTAAAAAAAAAGGGGTTTGTATTGTTTCAGTTCAGTGGTAACCCACAATGAAAAGCTTATAGACCTGCTGGAATTTATGCCCCTGTTTTGCTCCACGTATTTGTGTTGAAGATGGACATTGTCTTCTTGAAGGATCTCTCCGTGCTACATGTGGCAAGAGAGGAAAAAGCTGACTGAAAGCTGCCTTCACACATTTTTATCAGCACCTCTCCCTATCTAATGAGGGAATGTTAATGGGTCACTGCATATAAATTAAACTAATCCGGCTTCTGCAGGCTTGCTGTCTAAAATGCAAGATACAAAATAAGAGATACTGGGGAAAAAGAATGAAAGCCTGTTGTTGTTGTTGTTGTTGTTATTGCTGTTTTTACAACAGCTGAAAATCCAGCTGATATTCTTTCACCTATGTCTTGTTTGTTAAGTAAAGGTGACTTAACCATTGCTACCTTTTCTATTTTTTCATTTTCATTTTTTAAAATAATGTTTTTTTTAGTATTTATGCCATATCCCAAGAGAAAAGAAAATGGGCGTTGGATATTGAGAAAAACAAGATCTTGCACTTGTATCTTCTCTCTCTAACTCAAATAATATATCCTTTGAATACAGCATTTAAATTCATATTATTTATTGCTCTGGAAAAAGAAGCATTTCTATTTTGTCTAATATTGCAAATCTGTCTTTTTGATTAAATAGAAATAAATAGATTTGGGGGGGATGAGAGTCGAGGTGTTTAAAATTAAATAGTAATAAGGAGGTAGAAGAAAGTAATGAATTTAAAGCTAAGGGATTGAATCAAATGCAAGATTATAAGGACAATTTTGTCCATGTTATACTTTACACAGATAGTCCTCACTTATCAACCATTTGTTCAGTGACCTTTTGCAGTTACAGCAGTACTAAATAAGGACACCTATGACCAGTCTTTGAAATGGTAACCATTGCAGCATTCCCATAGCTACATGATCACAGTTCAGGTGCGTGGCATTGTGCCAGTGTAACATTGATTTCATCATTTGAGCAAAAAGCTCAGATCTTGAGAATGTGTTTATTCATTACATTTATTTGCCACCCATCTTGTAACGAAACGTCTCTGGGCAGCTTACAGTTTAAAACATTAAAATCATAACCTATAAATATCTCTAAAATAATAAAAAACAGAAGTCCCTGAATCCAGATAAAATTACAATTGAAAGATGAGGGAGGGAAGGAACAGAATGTGTAGAGGGGGAAGACAGGATTGCCTCTTAATTCATCAACCACCTCCAGTGTGAAACCTCTTCCATTGGAGCCCCAAGCCATCTGGCAGAGCCAGGTCTTAAGACTCCTGTGGAAGGTCAGATGGTCTGGCCTCAGGGGGGTAAGATGTTCCAAAGGGCAGGAGCCACAACAGAAAAGATCCATCTCCTGGATGCTGGATGCTGCCAACCAAAATTTCTTAGTCGGTGGGGCCTGCAGCATGCTTTTCTGCTGGCATGAGTAGGGCAGGCCGGTCCCAGTGGGCTGAGGTGGTTCCTCAAGGAATTTGTACCCATGCCGTGCAGGACTTTAAAGATAACAACCAACATCTTGAATTGCACTCAGAAGCAGACCGGTAGCCAGTGCAGCTTCCAGAGCATTGGTGTGACATGGGTCATCCTAGGGATCTCAAGAACTGTGCACTCCAGTGCACTCGGCACCAGTTGAAGCCTCTCAATGCTCTTCAAGGGCAGCCTGTTGCAGTAGTCCAAAAATGAGATGATTCCTGATCCCGGAAAAGCCTCCAAATAACACATCAATCGAAGTTGTGCAAAGGCTGTCCTAACCGCGACTGCCACATGCTCTTTGAGCAGGAGTTGTGAATCCAGGAAAAACCCCAAGTTGCAAACTGAGGTAATGCAACCCCATCCAAAATAAATTGGTTAAAGTCCCAGATCTTGGAGCTCTGTGCACTCAAAGCCATTTGGTCTTGTCAGGGTGCATCCTGTTGTTCCCCATCTAGAATGTGTTTAGAGAGGAAAGGTGATGACATGCTATACAGTTACGTATTAGTCTTTAATGTGCTACAGGAGATTTTATTACTTATAGAAAAATTGCTGGTCGCGAAGACAAAAATGAAGGAAAACAAATATGGGTCAAATGAAAGACAAAGCAGTAGACTATTCTTGTTTTGTATTGTTTGCCTTTTACAGATATTCTTCGATTTACAATCATAATTGAGTCCAACATTTCTTTTGTTAAGTAAGACATTTGTTGAATTTTGCCCAATTTTATGACCTTTCTTGCCATTAAGCGAATCGTTAAGCGAATCACCACCGTTGATAAATTAGTTACATGGATGTTAAGTGAATCCGGCATCTCTATGGGCTTTTGCTTGTCAAAAGTTTGCAAAAGGTCATATGACCTTGGGACACAGTATGAGTCAGTTGCCAAGCATCTGAATTTTGATCACATGATCATGATGCTACAAAGGTTGTAAGTGTGAGAAACGATCATTTTTTCAGTGCTGTTTTAACTTTGAACAGTCACTAAATGAACTGTTGTAAGTCAAGGATTACCTGTATTTGCAATTGAAAAGGACTAGGGCAGATATTCTCTCTTGATTTTCCTATCAAAATCTATTTCAGATTAGAATTAAAGTATAAATGATGATGGAACATTCTGAACTGGGATTAAAGATGACAAAAACAGAATAAGAATGTTTTCCTTAGGAAGAAGTGTACAAATGAAACTCATCTTTTCCCCCCTAAGTTTAGTTATATTTTTAGAAAGTTTTGTAAGCTCTGTTTGTATCGCCTTAGTAATTGGGTACTGCATACATCATTGCTTTGTCTTTTATGATATCTTTCCTAATGTTAGTTTTCACGTAACGTATTTCCAGAATAGTTGCAAGTATATGTAACTGCTTGGAAAGAATTTTTTAAAAAAGTATTTCTTATTTGGTCACATGATTATTTAAACAAAGCATTACAAAATTTCTGGTTTAAAATTTTTAACTATTTTTCAGAGGCCAAATCTCAGCCAAGTGTTCAGTTTCCAAAATACTTAATTAAACTACCTGTGAATCACCATATCACCAATGTAACAGCGTATCTTACAGTGCCACAACAGTTTTTAAAAGTGGAGCATTTCTTCTATACAACAGGAATTCTTTTAAATAAATCAGGTAAGTCACACTGATAATTAATTATTGAGGTTTTATCATTCTTACCTCATCTTTAAACGCTCTGTGCCAGTATTCATACCCTTATTGTGGGCCTTGCATATAATGGTTGACTGAGATATTTAGCAGACATAAGGAGCCGTTATCTTTGAGACTATAAACTGATAAAACAACGTAACGATGATATGCTTAACATTACAGATTGCTGCAGTTCCAAAGCCAAAACTTCCAGCATATCCCTACTTGATATTTTATGTTTATTTTTCATGTTAATGAAATAGATACATATCAGCAATAGAGAAAAATGACAGAGATGATAAGTAGGACAGTGAAAAAATAAACACCAAAGAGAAGAAATGAAGTTTATATTAATTTGAGAATAGATCATGGATGCATATATCATTTGAAGGAGAGGTTTTAGACAACCCTGACAATTCAACAATTCTAACATTAGTAATTCTAAGAAATAGCTTGGAATTTTGGAGAGAAAGTAAACAGGTAGTCGCAAAAGTTCAGTACCTTCTTCTTTGTTAAATACCTGGAGGTCATTATGAATATAATAATAATGAAGTTTAATATCAGCCATTAGCAGGTGGATCTTGGGTGGTTGAACTCTAGTTTTCTTCAGGTGTTCCAAGCTCCAGTACAGGGAGCTGAATACAGCTGGAATCAATAATATATGACTCCCCCTTTTGCATTTAAAGAACTAGCAAATGGCACAGTTAGGACACTTTGTTTTTCATCTTTAGACTATATTGAAATTTCTGATATTTCTTTCAAATAATTTATATATGCATAAAAAAATGTCAGTCCTAAAGGCATGCAGTAGTTTATGAGTGTTTTGGTGCTAGAGGGGCATTGCTGTATGGCTGTCATTCTCTTTCAACTTCATGTGACCTGATTAATTAGCTGCAATGCTCTCAAATAAGTGCATACAGGGTATAGCTCTAAAATAAATTAAAGGAAGATGGTTAGTTTCTACCTGTGTCTTTGTTTTGAGTTTACCTGGTACCAAAGATTCACTTGTTCCATTTCTGTTTTCAGTCAGACAGTGGATTGAAGGCAGTTCCTTGTTTTGGGGTTTTTTTCTTTTACAGATTATGCATATAGCTTTGCAAATTATTTAGGGGAAAAAGGGTATAGACAGCTTCCTTCTTACTTTTTTGTAGATTTTTTTTTAATGTATTAACTTTTTTGTACTTTAATGTCAATTAATAATGTCAATTAAATCAGACTTCTGATGAAATGTGTTTAAGATTGTGCTGCACGTTTTCTTTAGTAGCTCTTCATGGGACTTGTATCAATACATTTATTTCTGTAACTTGTTCATGTAGCCTTGTACAAAAATGGAAATAAGAATACCTCATGAAGTATCTAATACTTGTCATTGATAGCAATTGTTTGAATACCTGGAAAGCTGTTGTATCCCAGTTTAGGCAATACTGAAATAGATGTAAGACTGATTCATTATTACCATGTTTCCCTGAAAATAAGATCTATACCAAAAATAAGACCTAGCTTCATTTTTACACATGCATCCAATATAAGCCCTACCCCCCAATAAGCCCTAGTTAAGAAACCCCCCCCCCCCAAATTCGGTTGCACCTAGTTGAAGGCCTCCTGAATAAAGGCCTCTGATGGCGAAACGAGGCCGTGTGTGTGTGTGTGCCACGCACACCAATCCAGAGCCAATTTCTCAGCTACAAAGGTCTTTTCTGAAGGTCCCTGATGGCAAAACGGAAGCCGGGGGCCACATGCATGAGCAGTGGCAAATGACCACAGAAGAAGTGGACCTGCAGTGGGCTCCTGCTGGGTGGGGCTGTCAGTGCTGCTGCTGTGAGGTAAGTCAGTGGAAGACATTCCCCAAAACTAAGATCTGGTGCCTTTTTCAGGGAAATACGGTATTTGATACAATATCAAATAACATCCCATATAGAAGTCACTATTCATAATATCCTTAGGTTAAGTCATTTGGCTTGAAAGGAGTATCAGATCAATAAATTCAATCAACGTTAGCCACTTTACATTACTGCTTGTTTGGTTTTTGAATGCCTGCAGAGATAAAACTCTCTACAAATCAAACTGGTGGTTGGTCCCTTTTACTGTATCAATCCATTGAAAAGTATTCACATGCCAATATTCCTTGGAAAGTACTTTAGTACAAATTATTCATTTGCCAACTTCTTCCTGGGTGGTGAATGGGATCTGCCACTTCTTAATCCCTCTCTTCGGTTGGGTATTATCTAAAACATCCTTCCATATTTAATTATGAACGGTTGGAAATGTAAGCGCTTTTCTGTTTTTATCTCCATCTGGTGGTTAAGCTCAATATTGCCCATATTCCTAAACTTAGTAAAATGAAGCACATGTGAGCATATGTTTTCAGACTTCTTTTTACTTTAGTGGGATAGTTTTACCTACAAACGAATTTGATAATTAGATAATTAGAAAAATACAAGTGAAAGGAAAAGGGGGTTGCTCAGCAGAAATATATATAGGGGAAGATGACCATCTGCTTCTTTCAAGAAAGGTACTAAAATCTTGACTGTATTTAAATTCACATATGATTGCTTTAATCAACTACTATGGTAAATGTCACTTTTTTTTTCAGATATAACAATCTATGTGTGGAATGTAATAAAACATTAAATAAAACAAAGCTATTTCCAGTAATTATGCAGAAGCACTTTTGCCTCTACTCCAGGAGTGGAACATTTTCAGGTTCAGATTAAATAGCTATAAAAGTAGTTTGACAGGAGCCCATAGGAGATGGAGCCCCTATGTATGACTTGCAAATAGCACTCATTTTATGAAGCTGCTTCAAAACTATTATATGTTCCCATTATCAGGAAAAGTAAATTAACACTTTTAAATCAATTAAAAGTAAATTAAAAGTTACTTTTCTGTATGTTTAGGTTTCAAAAGTATTGAACTGACTCCCCTTGCTGCAATTTGTGTAAACTTATTTTCGAGTGGGAAAGAACTGCAGGTGGATGGCTCCATTCAGATCACCTTACCTCTTTTGCCTACAACTGCGGTAAAAGCAGGAGAACCTATCTCAGCCTGGACTTTCGATATGAAAACGGGTGAGTGCTTAGTTTTTGTCATCTTCCTTTATTTGTAAAAAAATAAATAAAAATAAATCCCAATTGAGATTATCCTAAATACGTTTTCTGAGATGCAAATCCAGCTGATCCAGGATCCTTATTTCCAGATTTTGAGCATAGGTTGCAATCTGCAGATAGTCCTCAGTTTATGTCTATTCGTTCAGTGTCTATTCAAAGCAGTGGCAGAGTTGAAAAAATAAACGTATGACTTTTTTTTTAAAGTCGTAGCCATTGCAGCATCCCCACAGTCTTGTGATTGTAATCTAGGCACTCTGGTACCCAGCTCACAATTATGATGTTGTAGTGAGGCATGTCATGTGATTGCCATTTGTGACCTTCCCAGCCAGCTTCTCAAAAGCAAAGTCAGTGAGGAAGCCAGCCGGGAAGATTACAGGTTGCCCCAGGAAATAGCTCTCACCCCTCACCCCTTTTTTTTTTTGAGGAGTCTACTATAGAGTACCAGATCCCAGGGATCATAGTCTGTAGCACTCCCTGCCCAACTACTGCACTATCCCGCCTGCCTGAAGCCCCTTCCTACCCTCCCACAGCCTCCACCAACCTACCCGAGGCCCCCTGAGACCTGTCCAAGCTCCCTAGCCATCTATCTATAGCACTCTCCATTCACCTGCAGTAACCATACCGCCCCCCCCCCCCCCCCCCCCCCCCCTTATCTTGGATGCCTATGTCTTCTCACTTAAAACCTCACACAACCTAGAGTTGCAATGGCAACGGGATTGCCAGGCTTGCTGTCACTAAGCAATGTGGCCATGTGATTCACACGTTACAATTGCATTGTTCAACAACAGCAGTTCCAGTCCCAATTGTCGGTGTAACCAAAGGACTTACCTGTATATACATTATTGAAATAACTGCATACGATCCAAAGGTTACATTTTAATAATAAATGCTTAGCTGTTTCGATGCATAATTTGTCCTCAATTTACAATCATAATTGAGCCTGGAATTATTATTATAAATCATTGAGGTCATAAGTTGAGACACCTATTTGGCCAGAAGCAATTTTCCAGCCTTTTTTATAGTGGTGGTTAATAGCAATAGCACTTAGAATTAACCCATTTCACAGTGCTTTAAAGCCCTCTCTAAGCAGTTTACAGAGTCAGTGTATTGTTCCCAATAATCTGAGTCCTCATTTTACCAACCTCGGAAGGATAAAAGGCTGAGTCAACCTTGATCCGCCTCAGAATCAAAATCCTGGAGTGAGCAGTGAGTTAGCTCTGCAGTACTGCCTTCTAACCACTTTGCCACCACAGCTCTGTAAGCAAATATTACAGTCATAAAGCAAACCCATTCATTTCAAAAGCGGCAAAAACAGTCACATGACCATGTAATGCTGTAATCTGTCATAAAACTGGCCTGCCCGACTCACGATCACGTGATTCCCAGAGGTACTTTATGTGGCTATCCTAACTTTGTACAATTGTTAAACGAAGAGTACCTGTTCTAGGTATTAAAGATAGAGCACTACATCATTAACTACTTTTAGAAAAACAATGCTGGACTAGATGGAACTGCCTGTAATATATTTATTATGGATATAACATTATGAGTATAAAAGAGTTGCCTAAAATTATTAATTCATCCATTTTTAGTTGAAAGTCTGGAAGAAAGCATCTTATTTTATTTTTGTCTTACCAGGTGCTTGGATTAATCGTGGTTTGGGAATGGTAAAGAACATCAATGATCACTTAGTATGGACGTATACTGCTCCAAGTCTGGGATATTGGATAGCAGCCCCATTGTCTGGAGCCAGAGGTAAAACTGGGGAAATGGACATTATTTTATGTCTGTCTTAATTTTTATTTCTTTCATAAAGTCAGAACACAGGACATAGAAGTCTAATTCTTCCCAAATTTAATTGGGATGATGAGATTTATCTCTTGTTTATGTTGAGGGTAAAGTTTCTTTAGGCTTATGAAATATAACTTCGGGTCATAATACATTGTAATATTCCAGATGATGCCAAAGTAAATGCAATTAGGTATTACAGGATATGCACAGATTTATATTAGTAAACATCTACACACATGATAATTCAGTTCCTAACAAGAGCCTAGGAAAGAGTTCCTAGAGTGAAGCAATGTCCTATTTAGAGTACATGTTGCAAAATCTAATATGCATCAGGTTCAGAATCATTAGCTTCACTCTCATATCCAATCTACTCAGGTTGTATATTAAATTTTTGCTTGAACGTGAATTCAAACCCTCAGACGGAAGGACAAGTGCATGTGAATATAGTATGCCTTACTTGTGTAATATGACCCAGATCTATATATCTTGTTGGATTAATACTCTCTATATACAGGTAGTCCTCGGGTTACAACCACTCATTCAGCGATATTTAAAGTTATGACACTGCTGAATGAGAAGGACTTACAGCTATTCCTTGGAATTCCAGCCATTGCAGCATCCCCATGGTCACATGATTGCAGCCCAGATGCCAATGCCTGGCTTGCAATTATTATGTTGCAGGGTGCCCACAGTCATGTGTTCTTGGTTTCTGACATTCCCTGCTGGTTTTCCCACAAGCAAAAATCAATGGGAAAGCCAGCAGGTCTCAAATTATTCTTGATCCCACTTCTTTTTCATCAGCTTGCTCTCTATATTACCCTTGGCGCCTCCCATCGATTGTGGCACCCATACCTCCACATGTGCTCTGTAATACCCACCTGTGCCACCTGCCCATGTGCAGGCCTAGGTGTCCACCTGTACTCCATAGTGCCTCCCTGCAGTGTCCCCCATTGCACCTACACACCTGCCTCCCTTCCCTAGCACTTGCCCGTGACAGCTCCCCACTTGTTCATAGCTCTCTCCTGCAGCTCTCACCCACTGTCTTCTTTTCCTGGAACTCCCACCTCTTTCTGCTTAACAACCTATGCTGTCTTAAGGGTACAACAGCAGCTTGGCTGCTGAGGTTGCTGTTGCTAAGCCATGAAGTTTGTATGATGTCACACTTTATGACCACATCGCTTAGCAACCCAAATTCTGATCCCAATTGCTGTTGTAACCCGTGAACTACTTGTAGGCATATAGCTTGAATGATTTTGACTGAGGTAGAGCCCCATCAGTATTGAGACAATGAATGAAACTGATCTCAGGGCCTTTTGCGTACCATTAAACTGCTTCTGTAATAAATAAATTGTGGACCGCATGCTCTCTGATGTGAACCTCTCTATTCCGTTTTTGCTGGAGGCTTGCAGCCATATCTCCTTGTTTGCTGAAAGATCCAGTGTCAGAATGTAAATGAAATATACAGTCAGAAAATCTAGGAATGCTCAGTCTGTGGTAGTGCAAAAATGGTAACTTTTATCTCCTTTCTCTGATTAAAAATGCAGATTCCATTATTACAACAGTTACTAAAGATATCACTGCCTACCACACAGTATTCCTCACGGCGATATTAGGAGGCACTGTCACCATCATTGCTGGTTTCTTTGCACTTCTGCTTTGCTATTGCAGGTAAGACGGGATATGATGGTAATGCATTTTTTTTTTGGCCATAATTGATTACAGTATGCACTGTTTGAAAGCATAGGATTAGTGCTCAGGTTGATTCTGCTTTTGAAAGATAATTGATTTACAATTTACGCCCACTTTCTATGCCTAAAGGAAACGCTAATTCGTCCTACATGTTCTGTAATGCTCTTCTTTTATACCGTTTTTGAAGAACCTTGATGAATGTACAATTTAAATATATATATAGATTTAGTCTGCTTCAGACTATTAGGCGATAGTCTGCTTCAAATATAGGTAAATACATATGATTTGGTAAAATCCAAAATTAAGTGGATGTTTTCTTCCTTTACAAGAAAGATAAGCTTGTAAATTACATAAATAAATAAGCCAGGTGCAGTGGTGGGATTCAAAAATTTTTACTGCCGGTTCTGTGGGCATGGCTTGGTGGGTGTGGCAGGGGAAGGATACTGTAAAATCTCCATTCCCACCCCACTCCAGGAGAAGGATATTGTAAAATCTCCATTCCCTCCCCACTCCAGGGGAAGGTTACTACAAAATCCCCAGCTGGGACTTGGGAGGCAGAGAATAGATGGGAGCGGGGCCAGTCAGAGGTGGTATTTACCGGTTCTCCAGAACTGGTCAGAACCTGCTGAACCTGCTGGACTTCTCAAAATTTCTGCTACCGGTTCTCCAGAACTGGTCAGAACCTGCTGAATACCATCTCTGGCCTGGTGGCGTTAGACTACTACTAATTGCAGTGATCTATATTAAAGCATAGTTTTAATACTTCTTTTTTATTTTGCTTTTTTTTTTTTAGGGATAAATGTGGTCGTCCAAAAAAGAGAAAGAAAAATCCTACTAAACTAGACATTTTAAAAAAAGACCAAACAACTTCAACAACTCACATAAATCATATTGGTGCAGCCAAAGCGTCTTTGAAGCCAGAGGACAAATCTAGATTGTATTCACCCAGAGTAGCATTTTATAGCCCCCAGAGACGGGTTTCAGCTGAAGGTGAGGAGAGGAAAGCCCAAGACAGTTTTAAAGTTTACACAGAAGGTACTCCATATCAATTCTCTGGTAAAAATCTCCAGTGTAGGAGTTCCCCCCAGTCCTTGGAAACCAAAACAGAATTGAGACATCTTCCGCCAGTTAAACACTTCAATGGAAGTCTTCCTCCTTCCCAAAATGTACAAGAACAGAATCAGTATCTCCCAATGACTGAGGAAATCTATGGACTCTCTTCCCTCCCAGAACAATTAATGCATCTCTATAGCCAACCTGGTGCTATGCTTCAAACATCTGAACTATTTCACTCCCAGGAGCAATTGCATGCTGCAAAGTCAGCTACTTTACCAAGAAAAGGACAGTTAGTCTATACCCCTGTGATGGAGAGTATGAGTCACGAAAGTTATACGCAGACATTGCCCAAAATGCCAATGCATGCTCACTTGCAGGAACCAACTTCCGGAGATGAAACAGTGGCTATAGATAGGCAACAAGGCTTGTCTCCTCAGACTGCCAACTGGGGCCGCTACACTAGTAGCTTGCTGGAGTCAGTTTCTGTCCCAGGAACGTTAAATGAAGCTGTGGTGATGACACCATTTTCATCAGAACTTCAGGGCATTTCAGAGCAAACCTTACTTGAGCTTTCAAAAGGAAAACAGTGTCCACATCCAAGAGCGTGGTTTGTGTCACTGGATGGCAAACCAATAGCTCAAGTGAGGCATTCGTTCATTGATCTCAAGAAGGGCAGGAAGACTGAGAGCAATGATACTAGCTTAGACTCAGGTGTGGACATGAATGAGCATAATCCAAGTCGAAAATTGGAGAGGGAGAAAACCTTTATTAAAAGCACGCAGCATTCTAAGATACTTTACCTAGAAGACTTGGATCTGAGTACCAGTGAATGTGGGACCATGCTTTCAACCCCGGAGGATCAAGCTGTGAAGCACATGCCAGAAGGAAGTAATGACCCCATCATAGAGGAAGAGCTCCTGGAAGAGATGCCTAGAAGAAAAAACACGGCAAAAAAACACGAGGCCAGCCCTCCCCCTGGGAAGAAACAGGGAAGACCACGTCTAACTAAGACAGAAGGCAAAACAAACATCTGGAAAAAAAAAGACGAGAGACCACTCATTCCAAAAAATTAACATTACAGTGATGTTTATCTTCTGATTGTTTCATGTCCAGTAGACTTTACCTCCTCTCTATCATTTTATTTGTAAATTTGCACTGGTCATTTTCAGTGGGGCAGTCAGATTTAGGTGACATTGCTTTTTTAAGACACAGAGCAGATTACACCTTCATAAGGAGTATTGTTTTCTGAAAACCAGCTCATCTTGCTTTCAACAGTTGTTATAATATCAGGACGTTTGTAAAACTATATGTGAAAGATTATTCTGTGGTGTATCTGCAAGGACATATTTGCATTCTCTGGAAGACACTAGTATGGCATCTCATTTACATGCTTTGAAATTAGACAACTGGCAAGGAAGAAGTTTTGTTGATACCAAATTGCATTGGTTTAGAAAAAAGTGTTTGTTATTTTTGCAACTAGTGTCTGATAATGGAAATTGTCATAATATGGTTTGATATTGTGTAGTATGGTATTTTTCATCGAAATGCCAATAGGGAGATCTTGTATTTCGTATCTAATAGAACATCCTGCCTCACTATAATTCCTATATAGCTTTTTCTGGCGGGGGAAGGAAAATTAAGGACTTGTTATCCAGAAGGTATTTCTAGTGTGAAGACTTCTGCCATTCCAATTTGTATTGAGCCAAATTGTGCTCCATTTTTAGGATAGCTGCATTTATATTGTTGTAATAAAGGCAGAGTTTGGCTCTTTTATGCCCACAATGTGTGCCATTGTAAACATGGCCAAAAAGATGCCTTTTGAGACATTTCCACCAGAAACAGCATTCTGTACTAGCCTTAAAAAGATAAAAGAGATGCCGCATCAGGCAATTTGATAATGTGCCACTCTTTTCAGCTAGCATTGTCATAAGTCATGAAAGTCAATTGTTGCTTATAAGATGTTAAAATCTATTGGAGTTAAATTTAGCCATAACATATAATTTGTTAATAAAAAAATTGGGACAGTGGGACCACTTTGTTATACCCAAATTTTTTAATCTAATAATAAATCTGCAAGGCAGACAAAATAAAGGAGAACATCATAGTTTGATAGTATGCAAAATGGAAGATTTTGGAAAGTTCCCTGGGGAAGGATTCCAATGTGTATAGATAAGCCTTTCTTAATGAAAGTTATGGATTTTGGAATCTACATGGAGTCCTCTAAAACAAACACATTGCAGCCCCAAATATAGTTACTTGGAGATAGATTCTGTTGATTTCAGTGGAATTTTTTTCACATAAAAGCACAATTAAAGCTAAAAATGCATACATTTACCTGAAATTAAAAGACAACCTATTATTTTCCCCTGAACAACTTTCACCATCACCTTTTCAGTGGAGATCGCAATTAAGATGTTAACAAGTTTGTACTATATCTTTCCTAATATTTTTAATACAATATGGAAATATTCATCCATTTACATTTGATGTGTTTGTTATGAGACACTTTTAAGTAGAAGAATTGGTGTAAAAATGGGAGGCGAACATATTGGGGGATAAAAGGAGGACTTGACAAATAGGCATTAACATGGCCAAATGCTAAATGGCATTAGCCATTTCTGCAAATAGGGCAAAAGTAAAATTTCATGCTGGACAATTATACATAATGTCTTTGTACTCAACATGGCAAGTGTACTTTGTCAACTGATTTACCATTCACTAGAAGTACTGTGTGTCCTAACTGGATTGTGCACTATGAACATGTTCAGGGACTCTCAATTGGGGCATCTGTATATATTGAATGAAAACTGGGATTTGGCCTGTAGGACAACAGCCATCCTTAGGTTATATAATTCATTAAGGAGTTAAAACACTGATTATATGAAGAACTGATTGTAAGAGATATAAAAGAAGGAACTATAGAAGAAAGAAATGTTCACAAATGTTTGTTTGTTCTTTGAATAATAAATTTGTTTCTGATAATTCATTTTTGGCTAAGAGAAAAATAGATCTCCGTTAAGTGAATTATCGCTAGAGAATCCTGTTAACCAAAGTATTTTCCAGAATTTTGATTTTTGCAATCAGCTAGAAAAATCTAATGATACTAATTTTGTTAGTTCCTAAAGTCAAAGAAAAATGAAACTTATGCAAACTAGAGGCTTTTCATATTCCTTTTTCCATTTGTCATCTCATAATCATTTGAGGACTGGCTTATTTCTATTGCAGTAAGGCTGTAGCCTCTGAAATCATGGTTGAAGCGTTAACCACCCTATTTTTTCAGTTCAAAACTCATTTGTCTCATTTACATTGAAATAAATAGAAAATTTGGATACCAGGAACTATAGGTTCATGGTGGACAGTGGACAGGTGGCACAGAAATGCTCCAACTTATAGCGTGGCAATGGTCTTTCTGAGTGTGAACAGAAAATATCCTACCTTGCTAAAAAATCTAACATTAAATGTTAAAAGTTTGGGATTTATTAATGGACAGAGAATCACTTTTATTTATATATGATCAGAAAAAAATTATATTAATATTTTTAGTTATCTTTTTAATACTTTCATAAGGCTTTTTTGTTTTGAAATAATACAGAGAAATGAATATAAATAATAAAAAGGCTCTCATAAATTTGTTACTATGAATGGAAGGATAGTAACATTTCAATCAAAATCAAAAGATTTGTCAGAACAAAAATGGAGTAGTTCTGAATGACACAACTTTTATTGAACTACCTACATTTTGGGTTTCCTTTTCTTAAAAAAATGTGAGGAAAAAATGGAACTTTGAAAGGCACAATGATACAGAAATGATGGATTTTGAGTAAAATATTCTAGTTGGTTTGTCTCAACTTATGAGATTTGAATTTCTACTTATTTGCAGGTCATTGTGTATGAACTGATGGGAAAGAGATAAATAGATCCTCTGAGGATTTGGGTTACTTTTACTGGACTAGTGTAATATGCATACCATAGTCTGCAGTAGTGGATTTTTTATGAAAATATGTATGTGCTTACAGAATATATCTGAGACAAAATGGACATTTTCTTCAGTTTGGAAATAAATGGAGCCAATACTAATTGGCTGCATAGAGATGATGAACTCACTTGTTATTCTGTTCTTGCATTGAATCCTACAATGGTAGTACATCCAAAAGCTTTTTTAAAAATACAATCTACATTTTACATTCAAACATTTTACTGTCTCATCTGCAGCTTGTTAAGTAGGGCATGTTAAATTTTTAAATTTTCAATTTCCAAACGTTAGGAGTGTTCAAAAGTTGTGACCTGCCTTGGGGATTGTAAAGATATTTTGGTTACTTTAATATAATTTATATAATATAATTTATAATATAATTTATATTTTGGTTACTTTAATATAATTTATATATAATTATTACTTTAATATAATTTATATATTATTTATAATATAATTAATATAATGTAATATAATTTATATAACTACATATGTAGTTATGTATAACTACATAAATATCATAACTTTTAAACATTTTATTTCAACCAGAAAAATCTTTACCTCTTTAATTGTTCACATTATTGGTTCTTACCAGAGTGTGCATGAAAGGGTAAGACTAAGAATATTTAAAATTTAATCTAAGCACAAATACCTCTCTGGGTATGTGGGATATATATTAATGACTTAAATATAATGTATATTAAACTATTTTTGGAAGTCACTTTCAGAAAATAAATGCTTTTCTCTTCATATGTGACACATGCACTGAAATAGCACCGGACATTTTAAGCGTTTTGGAATATTAAATAATTTTCAAACAAGAAATGTTTTTGCCATTTTATATTTAAACAGCACTGATAGAATTATGCCTAGTAAACTTTTGATGGTGATATTCCTCTTAATGCCTAATCAATATTTCTGAAATAATTCATTGTTTAGCATTTTGTATCAATTAGTTGTATTGGCTGAAATTTAAACTAATTCTGAAAATAACAAACAGAATTGACAAATAATTGTACATTTCCCAATTGTGATACACTGTTCTTTAACTTTAAAATATACTGGTGTGTAATTCTCCAGCATATATAGAATCTTTGTGGGTTTTTAAAAATGTATTTCTATGTCATACCAGTTCAGTTTTACTGTATTGCATGCATGTTAACAGAGCAGTTCTATGCATGCTTATTCAGAAGGAAGTTCTTTATAGTTCAATGGAATTTCCTGCTAAATAAGTAAATATACATATGCTTACAGTCTTGAGAGTATAGCTTGTATTGAAAATCAAATTTTGAAAACAGCAATGGCTTACAAAACAGAACAGAATCTAAAATAGACATTGAAACAGTTCGGGTTTATTTCACCACTAAAATAAACCCTTTAGGACATATATTGTTAAAAGTTGAGAGATTCTCTAATAGAGGAACTGCTGAATATTCAACAATTCCAACCCCATGTGATATATAGAGATGTTTAGATAAATTTAGACTCCATATTTACAAAATTGGCCATTAAAATTACATCATTTAGGTCAGTCTTGCTGCATTGGGGCCTACCTGTTCATCCTGCCAATTAGAGGCCTGAAGTTTGCCCCTCTCTATCATTCAGTGCAGTTATTATTTTTACCTACCACCAAAGCAGACAGCCCATTTTCCATTGTTGCTGTTTAAGAGACTAGTTTGATACTTTCTCATACATATGCTGCACCAGTTTCATATTGCTATAGTGCTTTGTGTTAAGGGAAAGAAATGCAGAGTGGCTTATTTCAAAAGAAGTTCACTATTAATTAAGACTAGTCATTGAATCATGTAAAGGTTGATAATCTAATTCACTGCAGAAATTGTAGCCCAGTTCTTGCCATATTAGCCCTTCCTTACTAGATAACGAGAATAAGGACTCCTTTTTCACAGCATATTTTAAATTTGTTTTATGGTTTATTAATGCTGATCCTTTTCATTTTATTTTTACATTTTTCTACCAGGAATAGCTGTTTATGTCTGTGCAACTACTGCGGTGCCAATGGATTGTCTATATCTTATAATTTATAAAACACTGTTAAATTTAATTTAAAAAATCTTACCAATAACTTTGTGATTCTTGATTGTTTAAAAAAACAAATTGTTGCATCTCATAGAGAATGTGTTACAGCCATTCACTGTACAGCTACACAATACTAGTATCAGGGACTCTTGAAAGGAACAGCTTGCAGAAATTGCTTAGATGCCATGCTTCAAGAAGTGAGTTAGGCAACATTAGATAATACCTGCAGGTGCTGCTGCTTCAGAATGACAAGCTTGGAAATAATGAATCTAGGTTTAAAGGGTTGTGACAGTCTTGACAGTCATGCATGGTGAACCCATTATATTGAGAGTTGGAAATATAGTCATTGTTGATCCATATGGATGTTCTAGTATTAATTATAATCTTGGTTAGAAAACATGAAGTGGCATATATGAATGCCTGGTTCAAGTATTCCCATTATTTTATTCCACATTCTGTCATTGTTTAATGATCATGGTGACTTGCAATTCTGACTGTATGTACACCCTGAATGTATATGGTGTTTTCTCTTCTCCATAAAAGAAAATATCTCTTTGAATATAGCATATGGTTCTTAAATGTGCATGAATTACTAGTGCATCACTTCAAATCCAACATTCTTATTTTCATTCATATTCTGAGTTTTTTTTAAACCATTGCAAATACTAAATTTAGTAATGACAGCACTTGAGCAATCCAAAAATATGTACAGCTCTTTATTAACATAAACTGAAAGAAGTAACAGGATAATACTTGGGGACTTTTACACAACTCGACTTTAATACATTAATAGGGGTGGCAGTTTTGTAAAACATTTGCTATATTTGCTATTTATTGTTCATAAAAGCAATATTTCCTATTACATTTATTTGCTGGTTCATACTAGAGCTACCATTCATGATTAAATAAAACATTTTTAATTACAATGCCATTACAAGAGCAATTTATCTCTTTGTAGGGGATTCTACTTCTATCAGCAAGAAAGAGTAAATGTTTTTATTAACCATCTCTCTATCTCCCAAGGGACATAAACACTGAAGATGCTAATAAGTATAAACTTGGTTTAGAATTTAGATTAACATTATTAGTTAAAACAATAAAACAGTTACCAAATGTAGCAAGAAAAATATTTCCACAGAAATGTGTAGTTACAGTTTAAGCTGAAATTAGAGTTTAAATCAGTTAAGAAACAGAATTGGGACAAATAGTTGAATGTCAAATGGTTGGGTCTTTATCATTTTATATATTCAAAAATGTAATTTAGATATTTAGTCTTAAAAGAAAAAGTTGAATTTACTGGAGCCAAAAAAACCTTAGAGACTTTTTTTATGCTGATAAACACTATTTTATGTAAAACTTTTTATTGAACATCAAACCAAATAAAAATGATTTTCACATTAAAATTTTTTAACATTTATATAAAAAACTAAAGCATCTGGATCCTTTGTACATCCAAATAACTACAATAGAATCTATTTTCTTTAAAAATATGCAGCGTTACAATTTTAATCTGTCTTTCAGTTTGTGCATAATCTTAAATCGGTACCAACTACTTTATCGGTAAATTTATCAGTATGAGCCTTTGGAATAAGGACTAAACCCTTCATATGTCTAGAAAATTTCAAATGTCTTGGTTTTTGAGTGTTAAGCAAGCTAGAACCAGCATCTCTGGTACAAGGACAGCTGAAACCATTCAATGTTAAATTTTGCTCTGTCTCTGCAGAATTTTTTTTCTTGTTACAGTTTCCTTGAAAACTACTTTGAGATACCTCTGTGACACAGTGAGACTTTATTTGTTTGATAGATAATCCAGTGCCTGGTATAAAAAGATCCAGCCCAGGCTGCTTTGCAAGGAGATGCTTTGCTTGAGACCCTAATTGATTTACTTTGTCTTTGCTTGGTGCCGTCTCCCAGGTTAATGGATTATATACAACATGGTCATCAATAGGACATGCATTTTCTTTCTGCAACCAACAGTCAATGCATTTTCTGTGGAACTAAATAAAATACATAATGTATTAAGACTTGGTAATTTTCCGGCAATATTATTTATATATCTTGCATGAGTCAAATATTACATGTGAAATGAAATAATACATCTGAACTGCCATTCAGTTCTTTGAGGCAGGTAAATGCCATGATCGAAGAGACATCTCTGATGTCTACTAACATCCATATTATCTCTTGTGTCATGCATTTGAAGAGAATTGTTAATTAAGGTTTATTGGAATTGCTAGGAAACAACTAGGAAGTTGCTGACTTGTTTCCTTTAAAGCAATATAAATTGCCTTTTTATATTCAGACGCTCAAAATGATCACCTCAAATGAGTTCAGGTTACTGAGGCATAGTTACTCATTTAGAAGGCTTTGAAATAAAATTAGTTCTCACTGATCACTGAAGGTAATGTTATTTAATAGCCTGTAGAACTGCTGTAAACACAGTGGATCATAGATTCAGCAAGATACTTCATAAAATATTCCAACAAGCTAGTTTTAAGTATAGGTTGAATGACATCACTAATGGATACAAGGCTGGAATAAAAACGTTTAAAGAGTGCAGGATATGGTCACATTCCTCAAATATCTGAAATAAATTATTTTAACTTATTCCTGACTACAGGACACAAGATGCTGGATTTAACTTACAGGGTGGCAGATTCTGAATGAAAAGCTTCCTAAGGGGAATCAGACACTTCGAGAGGGAAAAGGCTCCCATTCCTTGGATGTGTTCAAGCAGCGGCTATATTGCCATCTGTCTGGGATGCTTGGATTTTTGCAAAGCCTATAATGGGACTTAAGTATTTAAGTGGCTTCTACTAATTCTAATGATTCTAAAAATAACTGAAAAATACGTAAGTAGTAAGTCTTGGTCATGTTAAGGGTAGCCACACAGCCATAGCCAAGTTTATAATGGATTCTGGGAAAGTGAAGTAACAGCTGAATTTACCCCAATAAGTATTTGATTTACATGGCTCCCCTTCTTGCAATGGGTGGCTAACATGTTTTGTTTTGTTTTAAAAATATATATATATATATTAAGGGGTGAACCCCCCAACTCTCCAAAAAAGTAAAAACCAACATTGGAGCATATCCAGATCTTCATTGCTTTGTGAAAGGTTGGCAACGATGGACCAATCTAATGGGATTATGTCACAAGGTGCTGAGACAGAAAAGGCATGGTTCCAGTGATATTCAGAAAGGACCTGGAGTATGCCTCTTCTGTTGGATCTAGTGAGATGGCTAGACAGTTTCCCTATCTTGTCACCTTAAGAGCTGCCAGTGGCTAGAGCTATCCCAATCTATATAGGTGCAGATGTTATATCCTAACATGTACAGTATCAGTGCCTCTTCTCTTCCCCCCCTTCCCCAACAGCACAAGTGGGACAAAATAAGCATAAATTAATGAATTAAAAGTGCCTGTAAAATAAGGTAACCTATTTACAGAAGTAACTGAGCCTCATTTGCATAATCCAATCATTTTTTCCCTACATAAAATGCAATAGTATAGAAATGCATATTTCCCTTCCTCTTTATAGCCAAAGCAGCAGGAAAACAAGAAGATGGCGATGGGAAAAGGGACCTGTACTGAGAAAGGAAGGAAAGAGAAAGGAGTGATAAAAACTGGATACATAGGAAGACATAACAATGCACGAAAAAGAGAAAGTTAAGCTAATAGTTAGACTAATTTTCAAAAAACATTGAACATTGTACAACCATATCTGCAGAGACTAATGATTTTCATACCCGATCTGGAGGAGCATATGGGGGAGATCCTCCATTTTATGCCCACAGCTATACCGTGATGTAGGTTGGGATGAGAGAGTGACTGTTCCAAACTCATCCAGTGAGTTTACATGGTTGAGGCTGGACCTGACTAACAGTCTTGCATTGTACAGTCTAACCTGGATTTAGTAAAATCCAATGTAGTTGTGACAAGTATTTTAATTAATACCAAAGGAATGTTTAGAAACTATAATAAATATGATCTGATTGAGAACAAGGCACCATTTTATCCTGAAGCCGTTCATATTCTGGAAGTGGCTGTGGTTCTAGTTCTAAAAATCAGGGGAATTGTGGTAGACAAGATCCCTGACTCTTTACCACTAATGATTGAAACAGAATTTCTTTATTTCACAAATAGATGTTTCAGACACCAGACTCTGCTTGCTAACTCTAGACTGTCTCAATGCAAAACAATAATTAAAAAGGTACATCACAGCAGCATGCAGGCTTTATGTTATATTACACATACATTAAATTATTATTATTATTATTATTATTGTGATGGCTTGAAAAATCTTGTATCAGAAATTAACCTGGGTTTCAGGAAAACAACTAAGCTCCTGCTCAAGCGGATCTTCAGTTTACCTTGTGATTACATGGTAAGGTCCTTGTGACTTGGCCAAGGCAGAATATCTTCAAACAGAGTCTACACTGTAAACCTGGATCAAGTAAAGGGCTGCCCTTCCTAATCACCATATTGGGTATTGAGTTCAGTACCTGCTGTGGTATGCAGCTGAATCTGCAAGAGATGTAACAGAGTATCTATTCCATATGAGTTTATGCATTTATTTGATTTTAAAATCTTATTTCAAAAAAACAATGCAAGTAGTGCTGATGTACAGGTAGTCCCTACTTATATTTGATCACTTAGTAACCATTCTGAAAGTAACGACCATTGCAGCGTTCCTGTGGTCATTCACCCTTATGACCAACTGCAGGATACTGCAGTGTCCCCCACTTATCTCCCCTCCCCCTCCCCCACACTGAGTCCCCACATGGCTTAGGCCTGCTTCCCACCTCTCCGGTCCCCACATGCTCCTCCTTACTTATGTTTCACTGATCTCCAAAGCTTAGGAGGTTGGGGAGGGAACAGAAAGATTTGCTTTGCTTCAGTCATGTTAGCAAAGCAAAAGAAGCCTCTTCATTATTTGGATCCCACAAGGCTCCATTTTTTTTCAAGCCGGCGTTACTGCAGTCAGAGAGCTGAAAAGTGCTTTGGCCCAACAACCTATGTTGCCTGAAATAGAGTGCCCTATCCTCCTTTCCCACCCTACCTTCCTGAGCTCCAGAGATCGTAAGTACACAATTGTGACAGGATGGAGAAGAGGCCAAGCCCTACAGGGATCTGAAGGAGAGAGGAAAGGCCTGCAGGAACTCAGGGATGGGGAAGAAGGCACAAGGGCTGTGGGAATCCTGGGAGATGGGAAGTGGAGCACAAGGTGTCTCAGAGTGTATAAGCCCTGGGGCAGGGGATCGTGCACTTGCACTAGGCCTCCCAGTGTCTCTGCCACCTGAGGCATCCTGTACTCCAGTTATCGGCTTGTGTGGTCATTTAAAACCACATCAAGGAGAGCAAGAAGTAGGGATTGTTAAGCGAGATCATCTCACTTAATGCCCATCACCATTTGCGAACATGAGCAGATACAATAAATTGAGGATTACATTTAGTTATAAAAAATTAAAATCATAAGATGAAATATTTTGAATGGATTTCATATAAATACCCCAGACTGATACATAACAAAAAGTTATTATAATGTCAGTAATAATACAGAAATGTTTCTTTCACTGCAACTATGGAAGCCCACTGGGAATGGATTACAATTCTTTATAAATACATGAAATATTAAATAAAATAGATTAAAATATATAATTAATATCACTGCTTTCTTAAATCATACCTCTCCTTCCTTAAGTTTTTTAATTAAAAACCACTGAAATGAATTTTATTGAATTTTTCATCTTACTGTTCCTTGTTTTTTCCTTCTTTAAACTTCTCTTCTGGATTAATCTTCAGATTTTCTTCTGTTGTTGACAGTCGCACTTCAGGTTCAAATGATTTCCATCTCTGATTCCTTTTCTGAAGTAGAGACATAAAGAAACTAAGCAATAGGACATATTGCTTAAAGGGAATTATCAGCATTTATCATTTTAGTAAAACCGATACAGAAAAATGAATTCACTTTACATAAAAAAAAATACTTGAAAAAAAAAGCTGCATAAATTGTAATTTCTCAGATCACTGCTGTATGTTTTGTTTAGAAGACAAAAACCAACAACAATGTGAATGGACTCAGTTACAATGGTGATAGAGACCATGAGAAAACCCAAAAAGCCAGGTTGGGACAGATTTTCCTAGAGAACATAGTGTGATCGCACATTGTGTGATCACTAAGTGTTGATACCAACTTGATGATACAGGGTAACAGTTTATTTTAATTAGCAAGTAGAACACAGGGTCTGAAAAAAGAAGCAGGTCAAGTAGGATGGCAGATTCCAGTTTGTATAAATAATTCTGATCCAGGATTGGTATTAGCAAGTTACAAACTTCACTTCAGCCGGGTCTCTCAGTATTCCTGACAGAAGAGTTGAAAAACTATGTATGTCATATGAGCAAATAAATCTGCACCAGAGCATACCAATACTATCAGAATTATAGGCAGGTTAAACAAAGATAAAACTCCCCAAACAAAATAGTAAATAAATTATTCAAGTTTTTTTCAACTGAAGCCTTCAGGATGAAAAGCCAGCTTCTTTTTGAAATATCTTTACACATTTACACACATATGACATTTCAAAATATCTTTTGAACTAGATCAAATAGCTCCTTTTATAGAGTTTTAGTTCTATGAATCCTTAGAATTATATTCTAGGATCCATGATTTTAACATTATCTGCCCATGAAGGAGAGATCAAACATATCATATTTTTTGGAGAATAAGACACACTTTTTTCCCTCCTAAAAGAGGCTGAAAATTTGGGTGCTACTTATATTCCGAATATAGCTTTTTTGAAGCTTTTTTTCAGCCCTAACGAGGCGCTAGCGAATGAAGGATCTGCATTGTGCTTTGCCTGCTCCCTCCCACTCTCAGCTGTGAAGTTTTTTTTCAGCCCTAACGAGGCGCTAGCGAGTGAAGCAATCTCTGTGGTTTGCCTGCTTTTCTCATTGCTTCTCTCTCCAAAGATCAGTTGTGCTTTAGAAGCTGTTTTTTATCCCCAAGCAGGGGATAAAAACCAGCAAACTAATGTGCTGAAGCTGACCAGGCAAAGGACGCTAGCCAGATGAATACGTGGTAGGCAGATTCCCCCCCCCCCCATTTTCCTCCCCCAAAACTAAGCTGTGTCTTATACTCTGGTGCGTCTTATACTCCAAAAAATACAGTAGATAACTCTTCCTTCTCAACCTTAATTCCAGAGAAGCAGATAGGGAGGCATTTATTATGCATGACTTGAGAAGCTACATTTCTACACAACGAACACCTTGCTTTTCCCAGAGAATTGTAGAAAGCTACATCAACTGCCACAGAATATTTACTCTCATTTTAGGGAGAAGGAAGCAGGTTACAAAGGAAGGATAATTGGGAAAATTTTGTTGTTAAAAAGCTATATTTCACCCCTACTGTGTTTGTTCAGAGGCTATGAATTCTCCACAACCAGTAGTGGGATGCTCAACTCCAGATTTGGGAGGGGTTCTATTGCTGAACAGATATAATGAACTAGATTAGTGGGCCACTGGTTAAGTTAAAAGCATCACAGCTATTAACCGAGGCATGGCTGAAAGGAAACCCAATATTCTGTCCAGAAAAGGAAAGCAGCTAAAAGAAGAAAGCTTCAAGTTAACTTTGCTTGCTGTAGCACTTCACATGCATATCAATTCAAATGTAAACACTCCTACCAGAGAGATCTTTATTGGATTGAAACAGTGCTTAGGATCTCATCTTTATTTTGATTTTTAGACTACAATACAGAACAAGAATATATTCATCACTGTTTAAAAACAAGAACATAAAATAACCAAATCATTCTTTGATACAATTGATTTACCGACAAGGCATAATAGGAAGAATTAAGTTTCCTTTACTATTGCTTGCTTTTTAAATTGATGTATTAAGGTTTGCTTTTTTAAGGGAGGGAATTTATACTATACCTCTCGGAAAGCAAAAGTATGTGACGGATGACAAAAGCTTTGAAAACATCCATGGCATAGATGGTAATCACTGCATTCAGTACACCTTGAAATAATAATAATAATATTAATAACATTTATACAAACCTTCCTTAAAACACTATTGTTTGATTTAAAGAAATGTTCTACATTAAAATAAAATAGACCAACAAGCTAAAATTTCAAGTTAATATGCACATGAATTTGCAGAGGGGCAACTGAGCAGAAAGTGAAGAAACCTGCCTCATGACATCATGACACCAATTTTATGAGTTCCATACTTGCACTAAATGTCAGAATGCAATGACAATAGGGTGAAACTGCCTCATTTTTTCATGACTGTGGCTCATTGTGGACACCTGTGCTAAGATGGAAAGACTTGACTCTAAATGTACAATATTTTACATACTGAAATACCGTGGTGCAATACCCACAATAGTTTAGAAGCTTTTCATGCTCTTGGATGCTATCATTAAATTGATTTATATTTTCTTCAGATGAAATGAGGAAAGTTGGGAAAAGAACCAATTCTCAAACAGACACTAGGTGGTGCAAATGTCTTTTTTTTCCTTCTGATTTAATTGGTACTCTTGATTCATGGAGGAAAAATAATTTTGATATACAGTATGCTGTTGTATAAATATATAATTAACATTAAAATTAATTGTACAGCTAAATATGTTTACATTTTTAGTGTCAATCATATTTTTAAAGAAACTAGAATCTAATCATTTCCTATTACAGATCTTTAAAAATAGTTAGAGTTTTAATCTGTTACACGTTGAGTTTTAATACTTTCTAATGGAAATCTCATCTAGCCAGCTATATAAATTGATATTATTAATGTGAATAAAACTTGAGCCCTATGATTCAAGATATACAATCACAGATAAAATAAGTTTTGTTACATCTTTTTGTTAGGGAGCTAGTTGTGCTGGGTGCCAGAGAGCTTATTCTTTAGGCAGTGAGTTTAAGCTTTTCACCAATAAACTTTTCATGAAAAAATTTTGAGACATGGAATTATTTAAATATATAAACTTAAATGAAAACTTAAGCCAATAATTGACATATAGCTATTCATAATAATCGCAAAAGTTTCATCTTCGATTCCTTACAGAAAAAATGTTTAAAATATTACAAATAAATTGGTTCATGTTAACTAGTTAAATGACTTAAATGCTTACTTGTAGCAATTTCCCTCAATGGGTAGTACTCTGCAATTATTGCAAGGGATTCCAAGGTGTTTGTTAAGGCTTTGTTTTTCTGCTGCAGTCACAAGTTTTTTGCAGTTTCTGAATTCTTCCAAGATGAGCTTCAGTGGTGCAAAATTTTCCCTGCATAAAGGGCACTTCACTAAAGAATTTTTCTCTAAATCTCGCTGATGATCAATCCAAATTTTCATACACACTATATGTATGTTGTTCCCACAACCAAACCTGTGTACACAAGAAATTTACTTAATTATTTTTTGAAATGCTACATAACTTAAATAAATTTAATATTTATTTTAATAAATTTGAATTTCACTCGAATTACATTATTTTTCATTTGTTGTCATGGAATTTTATGTGATCAAATTCTTAATGACAAATTGTCAGGTAGTAAATACTTTTCTGTGAGCACATATACAGCTTACTAAAAATAGTGAAATTCAAGATGATCCATTAGAAAAGGAATGGACAATATTTTAACACTAGAAAACCATACTAGGACCGTGATGTGAAAGTTGTGTGATGCAAAAATAATCTCCAAATAAAAAAAAATTAAGACAATAAAAAAAAAACCCAAATCCGCGCTCACATCTGTGAACTGGTAGGGAAGGTAAGTGAATCCCACCTCTGGATGCAGGGCTTTCACAGCCAGCATCAATTTGATGATCATTAATTTTCAGGCTAATCTGAATAGAATAAAAAATAGATCCTACAGTAACGTGAAAACCAACATAGATGATATTTACACTAAAAAATCTAACCCTGCAAGAAGAGAAATAGCACTAAAATTCTGACAGAGAGTACTACCAATAAATGTATTTGTGAGCCTGAAAATTGTGAGTCCAAATATCAAATAGCCTATCCAGGGATCAACTTGTGATTTTCCAGATGTTGCTGCCAAACTCACAGCAGCAGTGCCTGCCAAACAAGGCCATTCTGAGGAGTGCTGCAACCTTTTGCTAGTAACACATGGAACACTTTTTTTTTTTTAAATTTGATTTATATGCTGCCCTTCTCCGGAGACTCAGGGCGGCTTACAATGCGTTAAGCAATAGCCTTCATACTTTTGTATATTTATACAAAGTCAGCTTATTAACTTCTACTAAAGCAAAGTGGAATTATGGACATGAGTCCAAATGAGGCAGTAATGTGCTTCCTAAAACTCCCCCCAAACATTATCTCTTACAAATTTATAAGAAAATATAGGAAAATGCCATTAGTCAAACTGCATGATTACAAATATGTTACTTTCTCCTAGGAATTTAAATCCAACAGAGACTCACCTGCAATAAGTGACAGGAAGCATTTTTTTGAGTAGTGTATCCTGGCAAACAGGACATATATCCTCATTATCAATACTTTTTTGTTTAACATACCCATCATCAACTGTTTTCAATTCCATAAGAGAATGGGCAATTACTTTTACTTGGGGAGCAAGTTGTGGACTTAGAAGCAGATAGTTAATTTCTCGTTCTAACAGACCAATCTGTAAAGCATCTGTTGAAGAAAAAAATAACTTTAATGTGTATAATGAAGCCCTAAAATCTACATAAATAAAAATGTAAATGTCCGTTTGTACATAACCACACATCTCCGAAAGTTCTTCATCGATTGCTTTCAAATTTTGACACAATGTTGCATTCGACTACGGGCGTGTTTTTATATACCTATATTATATACATGTCACACCTGTAACAGGTAAAAACATGAAAAACATTGGAAAACATTGAAAGACATTGACATTGAAAAACAGCACCATCTGCTGGATGTAAAACCAACATGGCAGCCTCCCAGCCCTGATTACACTCAACAGCCCTGATTACACTCTGCTCCTTATATTTAGACTCTCCATATTGCTTCCAAGAAACTGCGCATTTGGAAGGCAGAGACGCCCGAGGACCATATCCTGCCACCAGGCTCAGCAGGTAGGCAGCCGGCTCCCCGCCGGCAAGCCCTCGCAGCCGGCGCTTCTAGGGCTGGGTGGGGCCCGCCCGAGCCTGGCTCTGACCTCCCCCTCCCCCAGCCGCCCCGCGAACTACCCTTGCCTGCCACTGCTGCCCATCCCTCTCGTCAGCCGCTCTCGGGGCTCCCTCCAAAGAACACCTGGCAACGAGGCTGCCTGGGTCCGCCGAGCGGGAACCCTCCGTCCCTCGCCTGGCCCGAATCGCACCTGACTCAGCGCTACCACGGGCCCCGAGGTCAGAAAGATCAGCTGCTAACCGGCGCTGTGCGAATCCGGTTGGTGAGGGGGAGATGGAGGCAACTGGAGCCTCGGGGTCGCCTTTGACCAGCGGCGCCTTTGATTTCCAGGTGGGCGCTCTGGCAGTTCACGGAGCCTACACAAAAATTTCGGCCTCTGCCAGAAAAGGGGCTCCGGGGGGCGGAAACGGGCAGGAGGGCGGATGGCCGGCCCTCCTTCGTTTCATCTGGAAGAGCGGGGGATTTAATCATTCCCCTGCCCTTGGCGGGGGGGGGAGGAGAACTGCGCAGCAGGGGTCCAGTGGGGTGTGCGTGGCTCCTGGCTTTGCTACTTTCTTCCTTCGGGTGGGAAGCCCCAACCAGATACAGAGGGGAGGAGAGAGAGAGACATAGAGAGATACAGACGGGGGAGAGAGAGAGACATAGAGAGATACAAAGAGAGAGGGGGAGACAGAGAGGGAGGATTTTGTGGTTCCCATTGTTTTTTTAGCAACCGGTTCTCTGCCCTAATCACCAGCTGGGTAGGCGTGGCTCGGGGGCTGTCATGTGACTGATGAAAGTGAGTGACGTCGAGTTGGCTACACCCACCAAATGTTCGTGGAGAGTTTGGAACTTCAGCCTCACTCTTTTAGCCCAGCAGAAGCACCAGACTGGGCCACAGCAACAAACAATATATTTGTTTGTTGGAAATTCTTGCCCTCCCTCCCAGCTACGGGATGATCATCTGAGTGTTGGTGAATATAGATGGATTTTCTGGGGGATGCAAATACAACAACAAATGTTCCATGCAATGAGTTCCAAACAGAAAATAAAATGACAAGAATAATTTATACCTACATTCATGATCTCTTGGAAGTTTGAACTTTTTTAGTAATAACCTAAAAATAAAAGCAAATTGAATATAATTTATTCAGTAACTTTATGATTTAAATGCAATTGGCTTTTCCATTTTAAAGACATACGGACATAAGCTCAATTATGCAAAAATGCCAGACAGTTCTCTATATTCCTTAATGTTGTATTCCATCTACATGACATTTACTAAAACTTGTTTGTTTACAACTATCATTCATATTTCTTATTGTACCTTATAACCCACAGCAAACAAAGTAAGGAATTATTTGACCCTCTTCCCCAACTTGTATTTGGTGAAACATTATGCTGTCTTCTCTTTTCCCTGATGGATGTTTAGGAGCTCTCCTTATGCACAGGTTTAATTGGATTTCCAAACCAGATATTTCCTTTTTTGGTACATGCATACTCCCCATATTCTTTTTAAATTAAAGAAAAATAAAAATGGAATATTGCAAAATGCCAGATCTTCAATATTATCTTTATTTCCAAAAATGCCTCTGAGCCCTGAATGAATTCCCTGAACATTTTGTCTTCCAATACTAAAAAATCAATCTAAAACTTTCTAGAAGAAAACCTTATAATTTGCCTCTACTTTCTTCATATACAAGCCTTTTTTCTCATCTTTCAGGATCCTCTACTTTCCTATCTTCTTTTGTCCTTTTATCTGTCTATTTTATCTTATTTTGATTCCTCCCTCCCCAATGGCAGAATAATATCTGATTTTTAAAAAGCTGAATAACATTAAGAGGCAGTGCAGAATGTACATCAAATATAGAATGAGAAATTTATATCATTTTACATTTTAATAAAAATAATTTACCAGCAGATATGTTTACAAAGGTCCTTTTCTTTCAGAAATACTGAGCAGCTGCATGAATGAGGGTTCCCCAGGGAAACCTTATACCAAAACAATAGAAAACATGCTTAATAATTATGCCACAGCATTTATAAAAGGGAGAAAAATGAAAACTAAGATGCAGAAAGATAGCATTTACTAAAATCATATATATTTTACCCATATTATCTATACCCATATTATCTGCAACCCTAAACACTCAAAGGGCCATTTGGACCCGTTTCCCACAGAAAAGAAAACACCGGGAGCCACAAAACCCTTCCTGTGCCTGACTATTTCTTGAGTGGCCACAAAACTAGCATATGTAGTTGAATTAAATGTTCTTTTTTCTTCTGAAACTTTTCTTTTCTTGGATTTATCCATGGTTAACCTACCGGGGGTTGAAAAGCTCAATAAATCGTGTGCCAGCAGGTGTCGCACATTGGCAGTTGTGACACATATTTTGAGTGAGAGGGAGCCACAGCAAAGGGGTGAAAGAGCCACATGCGACTCCAGAGCCGCAGGTTGCTGACCCGATCTATACGGTATATCTGGAATAGTACTAGAAAACAGAAATAATAGTACTAGAAATAGTGTAACAACTATTTCTCTTCTAATGTACTATTTCTCAGAAAAACGTGTTTATGTTCACATACCTTCAAAATATATGATATCAACATCTATCATTCATTGAAACAGAAGAAAAAGACAACTGAAGTCCATTAATGACATCAAAATGCAGTTCTGTAAAGCTATAAGAATATACATACAGGTTTGCTTCAATGATTAGGGTGTGCACTCCATATTATGAATAATAGATTTTAGCTATTAAAGCATAACAATAAAAGCTTTTTTGATCAGATACTCCCATCAGCATGGGAAATTTTTCCTCCAGACTAGCAATGTTGTGACATACATCAAATTCCCATTTGAAAAGCATTGTTCATTATGTCCCACTTTTGTTCTGTGTATGCTATATAGAAGGCGTAGACTATTTCTATTCTTTTCTTTCAACTTTTCAATAATTTCATATTGCAAGTAGGGAATATATTTAGCACCTTTTAATTTATGTTTTTAATCTCATACAGGTAGTCCTTGATTTACGACCATAATGGAGCCTACCCATCATGATTTTGAGTTGTGAGTCATAAAACAGGTCAGTCATTTGACCAATCCAATTTTATGACCTTTTTGGGGGCAGTCAAATTAACACAATTGTTAACACAATGTGTAAGCTGCCCTGAGTCTCCGGAGAAGGGCGGCATATAAATCAATTTTTTAAAAAAAAAACAAAAACAAAAACACACAATTGTTAAGTGAACCAGGATGTAAATGAGTTTTACAAAACTGTTGTAAAATGCACTTATGAGACCCTGGGACACTGTAAATGGCAATAAATATGGCTTGGCTGCTGAGTGTCTGAAGTTTGGTCATGTGACTGAAGTGGAGAGTGTGACCATCAGAACTTCAAATCCAGGTCATAACTAACCCCCAGGTAGGTCTGTCATAACTTTGAACTATCGCTATCTGACCATTTGTAAAATGAGAACTACCTGCGTTACAGAATTTCAAAATGTAACTTGAAGCTGCTCATCGATAAGGAAACCAGAATATGCCTAATGTAGAAAATGTGAATAATATTTTTAATACTTTTAAAATTAGCTCTAAGCCTACACTTGAGAAGTTTGATGTATGACTACAGTTTTATGACACAAGATGTGTAGCTTTATCCCTTGCAAGTATGGAGAATAGAGCAACTAGTACTGTCCCTGAGGAGAAACAAAACTGGCAGCAGAAAACTGCTTATATCTACCAAAAAAGAAAAAAGAACTCGCAAAAATAATGAGATAGGATCCCAATAGGTACCTCAACTAGCAGGAAATGTAGCAGGTTTGCTACAAAGTGTAATATAAGAAGTCCAATAGGGAGTTTTCCATTCAAATAGCAGGTGCGTGTTTGTGCATGGAGCAGCATTCTCTCACTAAATGGGGTAATACGATATATCTCTGTGGGCCTATCAGTTGGGCTGGGATAATGAGAGGATATTAAAACCAAGGAGATTTGTGGAATGACTATACATTGACAAATACTATTTGTCAAATGACAGTGCTTCAGAGAAAAGAAAAACCTCTGTGGCTCATGACATGACAGCAAACAGCAGTAATTGCACATCAATAATCAAGTAGTTTTATATAATGGATACCTTATTTTAATTTTAATCAAATCAAGGTCAAATCAGCAATATTGCTTGGCCATAGGTTTATAGTATCCCTTCTGTAATAGCAATACTGCTATAATCCAACACTAAATCAACAAAAGTGAGCATATAACCACTATTTCACTTGGTTTATGAGCTTTCTGCATGAGTATGCAGAAGGAAAATCTTCACCTTCAGAACAATAAAACAAGATCAAATCAGCAGTATTGCTAGTGCAAGCGGAATTGGCCATAGGTTTATACAGGTAGTCCTCGGTTTACCACAGTTCATTTAGTGACCATTCAAGGTTACAGTGGCACTGAACAAAGTGACTTATGACTATTTTTCGCACTTACAACTGTTGAAGCATCCCCCTTGCAGTGTTCTTATTCATGTGATTAAATCTCAGACATTTTGCAACTGGGTCAGGTTTATGACAGTTGCAGTGTCCCAAGGTCATGTGTGAACTTTTTGCGATCTTCTGACAAGCAAAGTCAATGGGCAAGCCAGATTCACTTAACAACTATGGCAAGAAAGGTCGTAAATTGGGACAAGACTCATTTAACAATTTTTTTCACTTATCAGCAGAAATTTTGGGCTCAATTGTGGTCGTAAGAAGAGGACTACCTCTTAGTAGTATCTCTTCTCTAATAGCAATATTACTATAATTCACCCCAAATCAACAAGAAGTGAGCATATAATCACTATTATAAGTTTCCTGTATCAGTATGAAAAAGGAAAATAGTGACACTCAAAGTGCAGTGTTTGGGCAGAGCATCCTTTCCTTCACTTTCAAGCGCTCAGGCTTTTCTAAGGGAAGGAAACATGTTGAACTAAGATATTAACTCTATAGGGAGCAAAAGGCACTTTCTACATGCTCAGAAGCATTCTCCATCCACAGTTAAAACATCCCAAATCTGGGAGTTCTTATGTTGTAATGATTCAGTGGTGCCACTAAGAGATGCTTTTAATTTCAAAATTAGTTGTGAAGCTAAAAGCGGGAAGGGGGCCAGAGGAGAAGCCAGGTTCGCTTTACAAGAGATAAATTCTGGTCTCTTGGAAAAAAATGCAAAGCCAAATACTTAATATGGCATCCAAACCCACACGAGCCCTCTGCGCCTTTCCGGGTTGCATAAAGGGGAATGAGGGTCCCATGTCTTTGCCCTCCGCCTCCCTCTCTCCTCTTCTACCCTGAGCTCCGCCGCCCTCCGGTCTTCCTCCTGCAGGACGAAAGCGGTGGGGCCCAGCTCTCGGACGATACGCATGGTGGTGCCCAGCGCCTGATCCTGTCGCCAGCTCAGCTCAGGGCTGGCGGAGACGCGCCTTCGCGACATGAACGCCGCCACCGCCGCCGCCCCCTGAAACCAAACCCGTCTCCCTCTGAAGAGGAGCCGCCTGGCGAGTGGAGCGCGGGCCCGAGGAAAGGGAGCAACACGCGCGAGGAGGGCCTCACGAGACTGAAGGAAGAACGGTCGCTGAGAAGCGCGCGGGTGGTTTCCATGGAGACGGCCGGCCGGGCGTGGACTCAAGGTGACGGAAGACGGAGCCGAATGTGGTTTCTCTCACGCTTCTCCAGCCTCTTTCCTACACTTGCGCTTTGTCCTTCAGTTCTGATTCGTTGAAAAATGCTACAGTATATCTGCGCTCAATATCTTCCCTTTTGTCCCACTGGCTCTATTCTTCTACCAGACAGAGAGAGAGATCGCTAGCTAGATAGCTAAAGATAGATAGATAGATAGATAGATAGATAGATAGATAGACAGACAGACAGACAGACAGACAGACAGACAGACAGACAGACAAGTAATAAATGATAAAGACATGTAGGCAGACTAGATAGATAGATAGATAGATAGATAGATAGATAGATAGATAGATAGATGATAGAGATAGATAGAGTGATAGATGATAGACAAACAGATAGGAAGAATGGTGCAGATTAGTTTAAAAGTGTATCCTGTTGCATAAAAAGAGACAAAAGGAAAAATACATTTTAAATATTCCTCGGTTGATTGGAAGTGAAGAAGTCTTATCAGCTCAGTTAATCAATAGAATTTATTATAGACTCAGACCACTATCAATGTTGCCACTTCATATATTTATAATGCCTGCCTTCATTTTGAAGGGAAGCTTCCTTCAACAGGGCTTGCCAGAGAGCATCAGTTAACAGCATTTGTGGATATAAGAAAGATGCCAAGGCTTGAATTGCTTTGCCTGGATGTGGCTGAGTCACAGTTCCACTACAGAATCCGCTGTATGTTCAGAATCTCTCTATTGTGACCTATACATGACTGCCACTCTTAATTGCAACAGAAAAAGAAACTATGAAAGGGAGACAGTTTTTTCCAGACAAGTTGGACTTCGTGTCTCATAATTTTCAGCCACACTTCTGGTAATGAATACATAGGGTATATTTAATTTGACAAGTTTTTGGTGCAAGCTTCCGCATATACGAAAAGTGATGGTTCATACTTCATATCTTGACATGGTCAAATGTTTATTTGTGTGTGTATATATAAAATAAACTTTTGAACACACACACACACACACACACAAGAGATTATTTTAAAAAAAGGAAGAGCTTTTATTACGGAACAAAAGGAAGGGACTTCAGATTCTCCATGATAGAGAAGTTAAAACCAAATAAATATAAAAAATAGATTTCATTTCTGTATCCTGTTTAAGTTTTCAACTTCCTTCCCATTTTCATGGAATCTAGTAGATAAGACTCCAACAATTTCATTTTTATGAAGTTACTTACAGAGGAGTCACTACTATATAGCTAACAAAGTAAAAATAGAGTCTTGTTCCAGTCATTTTATTTTTATGACAACCATTCTTCATCTGGGAAATACAGAAACTTCAGAAATTATTTCCATTTTTGGTATATTTACAAAATACTGTTGAAATTCACTGACAAATATTTAATTGATTTTCAATACTATATTTTTGCCAGTTCAAATATAAATTATTTTTAGACATTTCCAAAATGATCTAATCATTTGATATTTTCAGTGACTTCTCTATCTTGAAGCCTGCCTGCCTTCCTTCCTGCCTTCCTTCCTGCCTTCCTTCCTGCCTGCCTTCCTTCCTGCCTTCCTTCCCTTCCCCTCCCCTCCCCTCCCCTCCCCTCCTTTCCTTCCTCACTCCCTCGCTCCCTTCCCTCCTTCCTTCTTTTTCATAGAATTATAGAGTAATCCTTTATATGTTTAGAATCCCATAGAATTTCTTAGTCAGTAAAAAAGAACATTAGAAAAATAACTCTTCAGAACAATGTATTTCATATAGTTGAATTCAATATATTTCATTTTGAAATCACACAAACCATCACAAAGTAAATTTAAAGAATACACATAATGTGCCGAATAAAGTGTTTACCTTGCTATTTCCCCATTATGCAAAGTGCATAGTCTGGAAAGAGTAGACTCGTGTACAGAAACGCTTATCTAATGACAATTTAAAAAATGATTATTACGGACATAAGAAAAGTAACATTTCCTAAATAGGGCGAACCCTCATTGTCTATTTCCTTAAGAAATATCTGGAAAGGATCTGATAAGGTTCTGCAGTTTCCCTGGGTCAGAGGGCATTGTCTTCTACTTTATTTCACCAGCCAGTAATAAAGCCAGACATGCATAGTGTTGCCGTACAGGAAACCCAGCATGGCCTTGTGCTTGGCAGAATACAAATGCAGGAAAAGAGTCGAGTTGGTTTGAAATTGAAGGCTGGTTTGTTGAGATTCATTCAGCTCATGACACAATCTTGTACGTGTGATAAGATTTGACCAGAAAGGCGCCAAGTAATGTACTACAGCTGCCGGTACGTGGTAGAGAAAGCATAGTTGTCCTCATTGGATGTCGATCATTAGCAAGCAGCGATGGGAGGCAGGACTCCTTGAATGGCCATCTCCCCATTCTCCTGAAAAGGCATACAGGTGTGAATGGCTGTACATAGTGGTGCCTTGGGATTGGAAACCCTGCAGATGAATTCAGCCCTAGGTGGGCACTTTCTGCTCTACCAGAAAAAGTGAAGGAGAAAAGTAGGAAAGTAAAGAGCATGAGTCTATTTCTGTTCTGCCTTCTAGATCTTCTGCAAGTGCCTGAGAACATTTGAGAAGGGGTCAGGGGTAACTGGGCAAGACCACAGCACCTGTCTTTTATTTCTTCAAGTAGACATGAATAAAATATTATTTTATTTTAATGAATTTGAGCACAGCAGCACTTTTTTTCAGGCTCCTGTGGGGTGAGAGTGGGATCAAGAAAGGAAATACAGTTGGTGTAATAATACGAGATCTGCCGTATGATGGCTACTTTGTCATCTTGCTGTTTTGATATCAAGTACCCTGAGATGATAATGATGATAAATTATAGTGTAGTGTAGTGTAGTGTAGTGTAGTGTAATGTAATGTAATGTAATGTAATGTAATAATATAATACAATACAATACAATACAATAATACAATACAATACAATACAATACAATACAATACAATACAATACAATACAATACAATACAATACAATACAATACAATACATAGGAAATATATAACTTCAGAAGGTGAACATATCTAATACTTCAGCCCTTTATTTTTATCACAACAACAACCCTGTGAGGTCGCTTGGGCTGAGACAGAGTGAATGGCCCAAGGGTGCATCTGTTTTAATAGATACACAATGACCACAGAATGCGAATACAAAAATTTGAAATAGAAATTGTTCTCCCCCAGCTCATTTACATGTCACTGGAAATAAAATGGAAAAGAAAATATGACAATCAGGCAAGATGAGAGAGGGAAGGACCATATTTCTATGAATTTTAGCAGAGAGGTTTTTTTTCCAAAATTAGCATTCATGTTTTATATAATAGTTCTTGGTTAAGATGTGAATATTCTTCTATACTATTCTTAAACTATATCTCTCTAGTAGATCTGAGGTATATAATTGTACATTCACAGGCAGATGATGATGATCAATATGTGCTGGTATGTAAGTAATTACATATTATACTACATGTTCAGTCCCTAAAAAAATAATTGGTGCCATGTCTTAGTATACTATTAAATTACTTTCTAAAAGGCAATGAAAACGAACTCCTAGTGATCTAATTGAAAGAGAAAATTATATGTAGATAACCTTTTTTAAAAATGTATTACTTTGATAGTGACATCATAATTTTATTAACTCTACCTCTTGTTAATAATTGTTTTGAAACAACTTTTTTGGCCATAGATACTGCATGGATATTCTATAGGAGATTTAGACAGAAGAGTTGCACAGTATTTCTTGATAACAGAAATTGATTTCTTTTTAATTAATAGAAAAATATAAAAATCATGTGTTGCATTATATAATGCTGCACTATTACATTGCATCAAATTATGCTACAACAACCAATATAGCTGTACTCAGTAGTGGGATTCAATATTTTTAACAACCGGTTCTGTGGGCGTGGCTTAGTTGGGGGTGTGGCTAGCTGGTCATGTGACTGGGTGGGCGTGGCTAGCTGGTCATGTAACCAGTGGGCGTGGCTATCTGCATAGGGACTACAGAGGGCTGAAAAAAGTCATTTCTGACTGGTCCTCGCACTTTTGACCGGTCCTCGCACTTATGACCATCCTCACATTTATGCCCGTTGCGGCATTCTTAACAACCGTGTCACTCATTTCACAACTGCTTCTCTTCATCATGATGACAAGATAGGGCAAAAACGTAAAATGTGAGGACAGTCGTAAGTTCGAGGACTGGTCAAAAGTGCAAGGACCAGTCAAAAATAACTTTTTCAGCCCTCTGAGTAGTCCATATGCATAAAAGGATACAGCAATAGAGAGAGATGAAGGAAGGGAAGGGAAATTAGAGTAGGAGTGAGGGTAAGAGAGGGAGGAAGAGAGGAAGAGAATGAGAAAGTAAGAGGAAGTAGGGAGGAGAAGAAGAGGGGAAGGAAGAGAAAGTAAGAAGGAACGAAAAGAGAGAGGTGGTAGGTTTGAGGAGAAAGATTGCTGTACAATAAAAAAGATGAAAGGGAAGAAAGCCAACCCCAAACAAATATAAATATATTAAGATAAAGAATGAATTG